CATATCGTACTGTGTATGACTGTGTACGTGACAAATAAAATTTGAATTTGATTTGTATCTATGAATCGTGCTGTGTAAATACAATCAACTAGACATGCTAGTAGTGACGTTTCGTGAAGCAGCGAGAGACGAGCGTCGTGACGTTACCGACAGAAATGACACGTTTATTATTGTCACGTGGTGTCTGACGTTTTGCCTGATTATTTGTATCCTCTGTGTCTTTACTGTATGAAGAGCCAAGACTCCAACGTTTCGGGAGTAATAAGTTATTAAAGGAAGTGTTTGGGAACTAAAAATCAAGAATGGCAGATGCAAGGTTATCAGCGGTTCCATCCTCGTACAATAAAGAGGATGTGTTGCATGACACGTGTTTCATAAAGCCATCTACACTAAGCTTGTTGTAAAGGATGCAACAGCCGTGGCAGTTCGTCTGGAATCAAGTGTGATCCGCACATTCCGACTTTATTCTCAAAATAATCACTGATATTGTTCCTAATGTGGCCCTAATGCTCCCAGCTGCACTCTTATCTCGTGCTGTGTCCACCTGGGCAGGTGTGTCTTGAAAGAACACTTCCTGTTGAACTTTGGACAGGGATTTCTGTCATGGCTGCGGAGGAACTCGACAGAATTCATGTTATTACAAAGCTGTCGAATCAGGGTAAGTTTCTTTTCTGGTCCTGTTAAGTGTTTCCAGTAGTAACGCTGCATTTTACTGCAGTGACATCACAGCCCAGCAGTTTAAGATCCTGAAGAGCGTCTTTAAGATTTACTGCTTGGCCAGTGTTGAGGGCTGGGTTATCACATAGCTGCTTATTTGCCTTCTCTAAGGGTTTTGTTTCTGTGGTCAAAGGTGTGTACAGTAAGTGTGCTTTAGCTTGACATAACAACTCTGCCACAGTCTAACGTGGCCTGTGGATTAGACAGCTAATCTTAAATCAAGCCTGTGGTGAAAAAAAGAGGTTGGACCCAACTCAAGACCCCTCGTGTCATTCTATGTAAAGCATGAGACAGCAAGAGAAGCACACATGAAGGCAGGATAATCCATGTAGATGACCTACTTCTGGGTTTTGCACGCTTGCTGACTGTCGTGGCTCACTGGGCAACTTGATGAAACTTAAAATGTTCCCAGTGGGAGAAATGTTTCGTCACTTATCCCAGTGACTATTTCAGTCACCACATGCAGGTTTGCCCAACCTTATTAACAGTTTGTATAAGGAATGAACAATGGGCTGTGAGGTCATTGATCTTTAATATGCACTTTGTCATGAACACTGATCAATAACCATGAGTCCCATTGACAGAGAGTTGGGGAATGGCTGCAATCACAGCATTGTAAGATGGTGACAGATGGACCCTTAGGCCCCTCCTCCATTCAGAGATGGTCTTTCCCTTTTCATGTAAATGGCCTCCTTGACTCCGCCCTCAAACCAGCGTTCCTCCCTGTCCAGGATGTTACATCCTCATCATTGAAAGAGTGTCCACTGGCCTGTAGGTGTGCATAGACTGCAGAGTCCTGGCCTGACGAGGTGGCTCTGCTGTGTTGTAGCCAGAGCTTGTTTGGTTTCCCCGATGTATAAATCCTGCCAGTCCTCCTGCACTTAACAGCGTACACTATGTTACTCTGTTTGTGTCGGGGACCCGATCCTTGGGGGGGACCCGATCCTTGGGGTGGACCCAATCCTTGGGGTGGACCCGTTTTTGGCGCAGCGTGTTTTGGGGTTTAAAAGCCACAGAGACCTGGTGTTTAGTAAAAATGTGTCTCAGCTGCTCCGATACTCCTGACACGTACAGGATCACTACAGGTTTTCTCTTAGGCAGCGGTTGTCCTTCTCTCCTGGATCAGCTGGAGCTTTCTTTAGGAGCCTTCCCAGCTTTGACAAACATCCAGCTGGGGTAACCACATTTACTCGGGGCCTTCTTGATGTTCTTCTGCCTCCCTGGCTGCTGTGTCAGTGGGGATGGTGTTCGCTCTGTGTTGTAATCTGCAGTCGGCTGTGACTGAAGAAGTCACTTGGATGAGCGATGAAAGGTAGCAGAGGGGATTGTTGATCAGTTTCAGCAGCTTTGGTCTTAATGAAATTAACATTAGACGGTTAGGGTTAGTGAGACAAGCCCTCCAAATACAACTGGTTGAACAGGTGGAATCCACTGACACGCTTTTCTGACTGTTTTCTTTTCACTTTGAATTTGCTTGGCTCAGTGTCACTAATTGTTGCATGAGGACAATACAGGGACTGCACAAGTCCGAGTCCTCTAAGATGTCACATAAATATGTGCTATTGCCAGAAAGTCTGGTCTCTCTCAGCACAGTCCCAGGAGCATGGGGGCGATTCCAGGAGACAGGCAGGTATCTACAGCAGCATGACAGGCGTGTCTAACCTGACTCCTACAGAGCATTTGACTGGAAGACGCCTATTTCAGCACACCATTACGTTGCTCTCATAATGGGAAGGCAACGTAGATGCTGATGGGACCAGCATCTGCATCTGCAAGGAGGAACGGGACGAGTGCTGCCAGAGGCTTACTAAATGACCTCCAGTACTCAACTGGTGTAAATGTGTCTGACCAGTCAATCAGAAGCCGACTCTGTGAAGGTGGCCTGAGGGCTCAGCGTCCTCTGCTGGGCTCCTCGCTCTCTTCCTACTTTCCTGTCCATCTCCACCGTCACTGTGGAATAAGGACAAATGCAAAAACATAATATTATAATATTAAAAAAGTGTTCACAGTAGTTGATCATCAGTTAATTAAGTGCATTTAATTAGCCCCACATGGCTGCTAACTGCTAACTCTTATGAAAGAAGCTAGGGTGTATTTAGTTTTTCACTGGATGGAGTCCTGTGGGAACTTTGGTTTTCTCATGACTGTATATCAAAGATAAACGTGGCTGTTGTCACTGTTGTTTTTGAGACGGTGCATCTCAAAGACTGTTGTGTCAAGATTTTGGCTTCTGTCATTCTGGCGTTTTGGAGCCAAACGTGACCATATTTTAAAAAGAGAAGTGCTAAGTTATTACCTAATGCAAGCCTGCATCCATAAACTGTACAGGTTCAGCGCACAGACACACATATCTGTTTAAACGTCCACCAAACGTGTTTGGTGTCTGTGCATTACTGTAGGCCAACCTGGAGGTATCCAGCATTGTCCAGGACAACATCTGCCTGGCTGACACCACCTTTAGAGTCCAGTTTAGAGTTGGGTAGCCTGAGTCCAGTGATGGTCTTCATGCAGACCTCTTTCATGCCGTTGTCTCGAGTTCCTGCTCCAGCTTTCTCTTATACTTGTCCTTAGCCTCTCTGATCCTGTCCCTCAACACTCCCTGAACATTCTCGCCTTCTCTCTGGTGCCGCTCTGAAGCCCCTCTTCTTGTCCTTGAGGAGGGCTGTGATGTCCGTAGTCACCCACAGCCTTTTATTTGGGAACAGTGCACAGTCCAAGCTGGGACGATGGAGTTGGTGTAATCATTACGACCAGTAATATAACCTGGCCCGTGTTAGAGTAAGGATGCATAATGATGTTTGAGGCATGTTTTTGTAGTATAACCGAAGTTAAAACATAATGTTGTGACTACGTCAAGCTAGCTCTCAGCATAATGTGCAATCAGCTCTGTGACTGATTAACGGGACAAAAGAAAAGGAGGACGTTCCCTCTGTTTTCACGTGTTCACGGTGTACTGCTTCGACGAAGAGAAAGTGAATCAAACTCCTTACCTGTGTGATAACGAGCTTTCTAACAAGTGTAATGTACAGTTGTGGTCAGATGTTTATGTGCAGTCATCATGACCACAAATGTTATGGTAAGTTTTTCCAGGGTGAAATGACTACAGCACACGTTTGATGGCCGTAGGAAAAGCAGGAATAGGATGAACACAGAAGAAAAAAGCCTTCCTTTTATTCCTATTACAACAATCTATTTCATTTTTTTGGTTTAGCACAATTTATCTACACATGTATTATGGAAGGTAGTTTCCTGCACTACGTGCACGCAAGCCAGTTATATTTAGACGGTACTATATTCAAAATAGCGTGCTATAATAGTCCTGTGACACGACACAAGTGTGACTGGATGAGACATTATCACATGCTAGAGAAGCTTCCACTGGGCTCTTTGAAGATGAAAGGAGCTCTTTACTGTGACTGAGTGATGGCGATGGCTTACTGGCACCCTTTGCTCCCCACAGCCCTGCACGAGTATGAGGATCTTCAGAGAAAGCAAGAAACTACAGCCATGGAAGTAAGTGTTACAATCTAATGTTTACAGTCTGCAGACCTCGATCAGCTCTGATCCAGCTCGCTTACAGTAGCAACAAGTGTAACAGCTGCGAGAGATGAGAACAGTTGGTGCTCACAGTAATAGAAGCTGGCCGAGCAGCGGGGTAACACTTCTTTCTTTGTTTATTTGAACAATAAAAACATTAACTAAAATATTTTGGTTTCAAAGTGATTAAAAAGCATCGAGCTGATAATAACCTCGAGCAGGTCCAGTACTCAGTGTTGTGTTAAATAGCTGCCATGATCACATTTTTGTTATTGTCTAAAACTAAGCAGATATGAGGTCAGTCTGTGTGTAATATTTCTCTTTAACTGTTTCGAACACTGAGAATGAACGATGGCAAAAAAATCACTTCTATCTCTCCAAGCGTAGTCCCTCTTATGATTGCTGCAATATTGTTGTGACTGTTGCACACTGGAAACAATCACGAGTTCCACAGCAATGGAGCTTTTCACAGGTGAGCCTGAGTCACCTGCCAAGCTTTTGTTTCCCTGCTCCATTTCTAAAACGTTTTCACACTAAGATTAGCCCGTGTGATTCCTCACACAGAACACGGATCAGGAGAATTACAATAGAATTAGAATCAATATTGACTTCAGTCCTGTTGTGAAGCTAATGTTGGGTAACGTAGTTAGACCTTTAGTGCTCATTTCCCCCTGTTTCAGCAAATAACATGGCGTCCAGTATAGGAACAATACTTGTTCATGAACATTGTCATCTACACAGTATTCCAGGAAGTAATCTCACTGATATTGTACAGTATTGTTTTATTATGAGCAGTGAAGGATTAATAATGAACCACCTGCTATAACGGTGTCCACATCCTCTGTGAACAGAGCTCAGTGTGCGTCCAGTAAACTTAAGCTGAACACACAGTGTTGATCTTTAGCATCAAGCCAAACTGGATCATCTGTAAGGCTCAGTTTAGAAGGAAGTTTGACCAGATAATGATTTACTGATATTTAATGGCAGAAACAACAGTGAATGAGGACAAAGTAGCACAACAATCTATTTCATTTGTTTGGTTTAGCACAATTTATCTACACATGTATTATGGAAGGTTAGGTACACGTAGGACTAAACATGGCTGCTAAACAAAAGGTCTGAGGTGCTCACAGAGACCATCAGGGGGTTTTCCCTTCTTAACATCTACATAGTTTTATATATTGTCATCGCATTTAAATGACCTGCTTTTCCAGACTGAGCTGTGGCATTGCATAAAGGTTAATGATGAACTGAAGCTACTCTGTGTCTTACATAAGTTCAAGAGGCTGGAAGAGGAGCGAGACGAGGCGATGAAGAAGCTCTCTGAGTTCCAGCAAGGTAAGTTCACCTGTGTCCAAAAGTGAGATCCCCATTGCACCAACATGTTTAACTCACTATTGTTTGCACATCAATGCTTAATACACATATCACAGCTCTGAGCATGTGTCATACGTGTCTATGGCGCTAACACATACAGTGGGTAATCCCGATCTAAGATTATGAAATTGTCCAGCGTCTGTAGCTTTTCCTTTAGAGCCGCACTCTTCCTGTTCTACATGTCAAAGTCCGTTTGTTGGCCAGAGAGTAAACGATTGAACCTGGAGGCTCTTTGGTTTGGATTTATGTTTCTGTGAACAGCTGACAGTTTAAAAGACATGCATACCTGACACATATGACTAAAAGGAAATGCCTTTGGGCTTTGTGACAAATCCATATTCATGAATTACTCACAATGGAAATACAGTAATAAATTCACAAGCAAAAAGTAATAAGTACAGTATGTATGTAACACAATAACTATCAAACTATCAGAAGTTACACTGTTACAAAGTCAAACTGCAGCTGCATGAATAAGATCTGCACATACACTGATCGAGTGGTTTTAAACACCAAATAATTACGTTTACAAGACAAAGATTTTTTTTTTCTCCCACGTGGATTTTGTTTTCTCCCGTGTCCCTACATTGAGAGAAGCTCAGCTACATTCATGCAGTCAGCCAGCTGGATCTACGGCAGAGTAAGCCCTCGTCTTCATTCCTGCCAAAGCTTTTTCAAGTCAAATGCAGGGACTCAGGTGGCGATCCAAGGATGTTCTAGTGTTGGTTTCTGAACCTGGTTTGGTTGCAATCGTGCTGCTGCTGGAAAGTCCAGTAATTATTAAGGCCGCCATCTGCACATTAGCACGATCACGTTGTTCTTCACAAAGGATTTTAAAGACTCAAACACCTGTAAATCAGGTTTCATCAGTTCTGTGGCTGAACCACCGTCTGAGCTCATACTGAGCTTGTGAAGCTCGTCATAAACGTTGCTTATCAAGCTTATCAAGTATAATTTCACTGAACAAGCAGACTTTATGTACAGCAGTATGTACATATTCCAGGTGACTTTTACACAGCCTTAAAGAATGAAAGCAGCGAGTTGTCTGGAAAATAAGTACTTGCTGGTTCAGTGTTGTACCTAAAGACTTCATCAGTCCTCCAGTAACTCTTTGGCATTTTTCTGTTGAAGTCATTTCTCTTGTGAGAAATATTAATGGTGCTTCCACTCGCAGTAAGACTTCCTGCTGTTGTGTGCATCTGCTGCCATCTGTGTCTCTTAAAACTTCTGAAGTTTGAGTCCTGTTATCATGTAAAACAATAATACGGCCAAAGTGTAGGATTAGTTTGATTCATTTGGGCTTAATAATGATCTGGTGGCTCTCTGGCCTCCTGTTGGTGTCACTTACAGCAGGCTTTTTAGGAAGCTCCCGATTTTCAGAAATGGGAGTTTAGTCAGGAGTTTAGTCTGATATACACAAATGTTCCCTCAACGTCTAATTGTCGTATGTCTGGGTAGCTCTGTGTGCCTATAGATGACCTGACGCAGTAAAAGGTACATATTTAAAACATTTCTTTTAGATTTTAGAGCAAAGTCTCGGGACGATCTGTCTCCTGATATTGCTTCTAATGTAATTTGTCACTATTTATTTTAAGCTCAAGCTAGCATGATGCTATATAATGTTGAATTGTACCATGCCATTACAGCAGTGTTTCCCAACCACTGGGCCTTGGCACATAGGTGTGTCAGGTGATCCACTGGTGTGCCGTGGACGGTTATCTGGTTCCACCTGATTGGTCCTCTAAGCTATCGGCGTGAGTAACAGGCGGAACAATAACATTCTCTTCCACTAGAGGGCAGTACAACTACCTGCTCTAATTAAATGGGTTTCCAACTGCCAGTAAAACAGAAGAAGACAAAGGAGAAATGACATAATAGTCATGCTGTGAGACAATGCAGCGCGGAATAGCAATAGATAAATATTTGAAAAACAGTAAGTGTGATGCGCAAGGTGGTTGGTGCCTGTCGTGGTGGTAACCCCCGAACCAAATGGTGGACACCAGAGGTGAAGGGAGCCACCAGGCTGAAGAAGGAGTCCTATCGGGCTTGGTTAGCCTGTGGGACTCCGGAGGCAGCCGACAAATAACGACAGGCCAAGCGGAATGCGGCTCGGGCAGTGGCTGAAGCAAAAACTCGGGTGTGGGAGGAGTTCAGAGAGGCCATGGAAAAAGACTATC